AATGAACTGGAGTACTAGGCTAGGGGTTAGATCAATTGAGAAAAAGTGTCATTCATTTCAGGGGATATTTCAGAAGACTCAAAATACATGTATTTCGGCTACAAAGAAAAATGCTAAAGAGTGGACCCACTATCCGTGGTTAACTAAAGAATTCAAGGAAGGCATCAAACTTAATGAAAGAGCATTTAACTGTGCAGAAATAAATAGGAGTTAGGTGATTGATCAGAATATAAAGAACATCAGAGAATGATTAGAAATTAATCAGGAGGAAGAAATTAGATAATGAGGGGAAGTTAGTTTGCAATGTAAAAACGTAGCAAGCAATTTTATAGGTATTTAACAAGGAAAGGGTTAAGTAGAGTAAGTTTTGGTCCTCTGGTGAGTAAGAATAGTGAATGAATAGTAGATAAAATGAACAAATATCTTGCCTCTATCTTCACCAAAGAATACATGAAAAGTTTCTGAGTGATATCTATAAAGCAGAGAAAACTAGAATAATTACAATCCTGAGAGAAGTGCTTTGACAGGAAAAATGAAAAAGCAGAGTAATACTTAAACAAAGAATGACTATAGAATTCTGAGGTGAGGAGGTTTTTTGGATGATTTGGTATGTGTGTGACAGAAAATTAGTATGCAGATATATCAAGTAATTGAGAAGACTGGTGGAATGCTATCCTTTATGAGAGAAATTGTACATAAAAGCAAGGATGTTATGCTCCAGTTGTACAGGGCATTGGAGAGACCATAGCTTGAATTTTGTGTGTAGTTTTCATTTCCTTATTTAAGGAAGAGTGTAATGGTCTTAGAGGCAGTTCAGAGGAGGTTTACTAGATTGATACCCAGAATGAGTAGATTGTTTTATAAGGATAGATTAGACAGACTGGGCTTGTTTCTGCTGGAGCTGAAAAAGAGGGGTGACTTGATTGCAACGTGTAAGATCCTGAATGGTCTTAAAACAGTGGACATGGAAAGAATGTTTTCTTTTGTGGGTGAGTCCAGAACTAAGGAATAATGTTTTAAAATTAGAGATTGTTTTTTGACTATAGAGATGAGGAGCAATTTTTTCTGTCAGTGGGTTGCACAATTTTGGAACTAATTTCTGCCGAAGGAAATGGATGTGGTGAATAATTTTAATACAAAGGCTCAAACATTACTGGGAGTAATGGAAAAGTGGAATTCAAAATGCAAATAGATATGCTATGATCTTATAGTATGGTGGAGCAGGCCTAAGGGACCTAATGGTCTACTTTTGCTCCTGTTTTGTATGTACATCTTTGTATGATGTGCTGGGCTCCACCATCACTGAGGATGGGGAGATTTGTGGAGCCACATCCCCTTCTTAATTGCTTTATTGTTTACTACCATTCACAACCGGTCGGGGCAGGACTGCAGAGTTTTGACTTCATTTATTGATTGTGGAATCATTTAGTTCGACTATTATATGCTACTTACACTTTGTGTCATGCAAGTAGTCCCGTGAAGTAGCTTCATTAGGTTGACACCTCATTTTTTAGGTATGTCAGGTGCTGCTCCTGACTACCCTCCTGCACTCTTCTTTGAACCAGGATCAGTGTCCCAGTTGATATTAATGGTACAGTGGGGTATATGCTGGGCCATGAGGTTATAAATTGAGGTTCAGACTTCTCCTGTTGTTGGTGATGCTTTGCAGCACCTTATGGTTGCCTTAGCTTTGAGGTGTTCAATCTGTTTGGAATCTATACCATTGAACACGGTCGCAGTGGCACAAAACACAATGGAGAGCATGCTCAGTGTGAAGACAAAGGCTGTGCATTGGTCAATGCTGTCATGGACAGGCTCATGTGTAACAAGTCAATCGGTGTGGACAAGGTCTGGTAGGTTTTTCTATCTTATTCTCTCTGCTGGTAGATATATACTTCAGGACTTAGCCACATTGGTCAGTAGTAGTGCAAGCAAGCCATTCTTAAGCAGGACTATTAAACTAGTCCAGGCTGTTTGTTGACACGTGGAAAAATTCTGCTTCAAGCCCTGAGCTTGTTGGTAAAAGTGACTTAATTCATAGGGTTCTTAGGGCTGGGTATGATATAATCAATTCAAGCATCTAGATCAATGTTAAATTGAATCACACCAGAGTCTAATTTAAAGCATGGTGGCATGGTGGCATGGTGGCTCAGTAGTTAGCACTGCTGCCTCACAGTGCCAGGGACCCGGGTTCAATTCCAAACTCGGGTGACTGTCTGTGTGGAGTTTGCACATTCTCCCCGTGTCTGCGTGGGTTTCCTCTGGGTGATCCGGTTTCCTCCCACAGTCCAAAGATGTGCAGGCTCGGTAGATTGGCCATGCTAAATTGCCCATAGTGTTCAGGGATGTGTAGTTTAGGTGGGTTATAAGGGAATGGGTTGGGGTGGGATGCTCCAAGGTTTGGTGTGGACTTGTTGGGCTGAAAGGCCTGTTTTCACACTGTAGGGATTCTATGTTCTAAATGATTGGTATGGTTTCATACTGTTTTGACTTTTCTGTATTAGTTTGTTAAAACTGAGTGGCTTGTTAATCCAAGTAAGAAGGCAGTTAAGAGTTACATATAGGACAGGACAGTTAAAGATAGCAAATTTCCTTCTCTAAAGGACATTTGTGAACCAGATAGGCTTTTACGACAACCGATGATAGTACCATCGCACCAATGCTGAGACTAGCTTTCAATTCCCAGTTTTTATTTTTATTGATCAATTGAATTGCATAAATGTAAATTCCATCAGCTACCATGATAGGATCTGAAGTTGTCTCCTAGTGTAGTGACATTTTTCGTACATGACATCTCACTTTAATTTATTCAGTACTGACGTTGGAGTTTTAAAGCCTTGGGTAAAATTCAGTCCAGTGTTTTGGATCAATGAGCTACTATCAAAGCATCCATTTAGTATTTTAGTTTCTTTTTGTTCATGCTGTTCATATTTTGTCTCATTTCGCGTGTCCCCCAATCTACCAGCATGTCTATTGTCCTCTTGAAGTCCGCTACTATTGTCCTGAGTATTCACAAGATTAAAAAGATCCCAGTCATCTACAGATTTTGAAATTGCAACCCATGATTCATTTCTGAGTCATTGGCATAGTAACAAAAATAAACTTTGTGGATCTCATTGTCTGAAAAACAGTCAACATAACTCAGTGATAACACAGTGTGGAGCTGGAGGAACACAGCAGGGCAGGCAGCATCAGAGGAGTAGGAAAGCTGATGTTTCGGGTCGGGATCCTTCTTCAGAAAAAAGATTAAAAAACATAACTCAGTGTTTTCAATCCCCAACTATTTTGTATCTACACTGCTACTGCACCATTTACCCTAGTTTTCCTACCAAATCTCAAATGTGAAATTTTATCAGATGTCTTTTAAAACTTCATATACACAGCATCAACTATACTGTCCAAGTCCACCCTCTCTGTCCTCTCAAAGAATCAATCAAATCATTTGATCATGACTTGACCCAAACACATCTAATGCTATTCTCCTTTATTCATGTATGCAAGTCTAAGTGGCTGGTAATTTTCTCTAGTTTATTATTTCTGTATCAAACCCACTACTATCATTAAACTGACCAGCTTATAATTGCCAGATTTATGTTTCTTCCCTTTTTAAACAAGGATATGACATTTTCAATTCTCTAGTCCTTACTATATAGTCTATTTCTATACCTAAGGAAGATCGGAAGATTATTGCCAATTCCTACACAATTTCTACTTTTTTTCCTTGTCTTATCTGGCCTGTGTGCACAACTTCTTTATTTTTATCTCAAGCAGTGTGTCAACACCTTCCTTGTTTGTCATAGCTTTGACAAATTCTTCTTCCTTGATGAACTCCAAATGCAAAATACACATTTAGAATCTCAGTCAAGTCTTCTATGTCAACCAGTGGAAGTCTGTTTGGGTCCCTAATGGACAGCATAGTTCCTCTGACAACCCTTTTATTATTAATATATCTATAGAATTTGCCCATCTATTTTAGATGTCAATTCCATTTCCACTATTCCCGTTTCTTCCCTTGCAGTCATGGAAGTTACTGAACCATGCAGTGAGACAGTTTTAATTATTCATGTATAGTGATGTAAGGCTAATTAATATCAAGGGACGGCACTAAGATAACAAGTTCTTTCGCAAAATTAATCACTTGCACTTCCCAGCAGGAATCACTGGATGGTGATCAGGAGTGGGAACTTTAGTTATCTTTAACCCCACAACCATCCACCTTCACAAGTCAACAAGCCTTAAAGATGAATGTAGCATTTCTACATGATGGGAGAGGCAATGGCCTAGTGGTATATCGCTGGACTGTTAATCCAGAGACCCAGACAATGTTTTGGGGACCTGATTTTGAATCCCGTCATGGCAGATGGTAGAATTTGAATTCAATAAATATCTGGAATTAAGGATCTAATGATGACCATGAATCCATTGCCAATTGTCAGAAAAACCCATCTGGTTCACTAATGTCCTTTAGGGAAGGAAACTGCCATCCTTACCTGGTCTGAACTACATGTGACTCCAGACCCACAGTAATGTGATTGACTCTCAACTGCCCTCTGGGCAATTAGGGATGGGCAATAGATGCCTAGCCAGCAATGCCCTCATCCCATGAATGAATAAAGAAAAAAAACTGCAGATCAACTCAGATTAGGTATCTCAGAACTCAAGAGCGAAGGTGCATCTTACCTGCTAAACAATTTATTGATCGTCCCAAAGTCATGTCTCAACAGTGTCCAGTTTCAGAAAAAAAGGCACATTGAACAAAACACATTCAGAAAATAATTTTCATTCTAATTCTTTCCATTATTTGCTTTATTTCCAAATATCATTTGAGATTCTGGTGATTGGAATGGTGGAAAACAATGTTTAAAATTGTGAATTAAATAGGCCATGTTTGACTAATTATTACATAGATCTTAGAAATATTGATCATTATGATAAAAATAATTGAAAATAATACATTTATACTTCCAATTTGCGAACACATAATATGGAAGATAACATACCTGTTGACATGCAGTCAAAGTCAGAAGCTGTCAGGTCTATTAGTTTCTTGCCCTCATGTTCTGGTGGGCCAGCACAGAAAACATCAGTCACAGTGGCATTTATGGTCTTCAGCCAACTCGTCATCCATTTTGTTTTACAGTCACATTGGAGCTCATTTCCACGTAAATCTCTAAACAGTCAAAGAAAATACTGAGTGAATTGTTGTAATGGGAAGTCTTTGCATTTGATTATCTGTGAAGAGTGACTACACCGTTTGGGTTGCATCTGCAGAATAGACTGTCCCTACCTTGGATGACTATTACCATTTAGTTTTCCATCATTACAGGGTCAAATTTCTGGAACTCCTGATCTATGCGCGCTGTGAGTGTATTTTCACGTGAACAGCAGCAATTTGAAAATGCAGCCTAAAACCACCTGCTCCACAGCAATAAATAGCAGTCTTGCCAGCAACACCACATCCCATCAATGAACTAATTTAAAAAGTCAGACTTCAATAATAAACTTATCAGCTGCACCCTACCATTCTATATCATTTGTGAAATCTACACTGAATGAAAATGACAAAGTTTCACATGCTTTTCCTGCCTATATCTGATGCAAGGATGCTCAACATCTCATTTAGCTCACATTGTAAACTGTCAAAACCAGTACAGAGGGTAAACCCACATCTCCTTCCTATTCACATTCAATTCCATGTCATTCATTTTAATTAGTATTTGTATTTTTAGATGTAATATATGCAAATGTACTTATTTTATCCATAAACAGTCAAGACAGACAAGAACTATACTGTTTGCAAATGTTGGTATGGGAGAAGTTTAACCATTAAGGATTACAATTTTTGGAACAGGTAACATTTTCTGAATTAAACAGGTTGTGCTGCGCCATTGATGAGCTGAATGTAATGTTGAGTCATCTGAGGATGGATAGAATATTCAGTGGATGGGCAAATGTTACTTTACATAATGCAGTTGGTTGCATCTTCAAATTATATAGAATCTGTAATGTGAGTATTTAAAAGTGGTGACACACAGCGAATTCAATTACTGGAAGGTTCAAATCAGCTAGTACACCCTGACCAGCATTGCACAGCACCTTATCCAGTATCATTTGCCATTTCACTGCAATGACTCCCTCTCATCCTTACATACTTTATCACTTTGGAACTGCCAGAGGTAGCAGTGGTATCTGTCAACTGTGTAAAGTATTGAAATCCTCTCATGAACAGTTTCTTGTTAGTCTTGCTTATTTGTTTGAGATTTGGGAATAGTTCACTTTCGGGACAGTTTGATGGGCTTTTTTCATCTACCTTTATTTTTTCTTCCAATATTTGTCTTCCAAAAATAAAGAAAAAACTGAAAAATAGCTGAAAGAAAGCTGAGGTTTTAAACTGGAAGCAAAATTCACTTTCAAAAATCTTTAGTTATCAGCATGCCACTAAGGATCTGATGAACAGACTTTTGAAGCATTTCTTGTTACATGATTTTAAATGCAGCCAAAATTATTATCTTAAGGTACATTTTCTGAGATGGACTCCCAGCTTTAAAACCAAATCAATAGCAATGCAGAATGAAGAGTCAGGGCATGCAATTCAGAAAACTCAAGTTTTCAGGCCATTTGTTTTAATCACTGGTGAACCAGGGCAACATTTCCATCTATATTTAATTCTCCAGACTTTGAGTTATTTAATCTGATCCCACACAGAACTTTACAAAGATTTACTCAGTCTAACATTTGGTTTCATCACATAGTTTAAATAAAGCAGAAAAAGAAGTTTACCTGGATTCTATTAAGGTTCCACAAGAGCACCATCGATTATTTTGTTGAAATGGCGAAATTCTAATGGAATTGATGCAAGGGCTTATTTTACCTTAGTATGAACATTTATGTGAAAACTGCATACAAATGAGGAAATTGTTTTGATAAGTTCCCTTAAAAACTAATTTAAGTTTAGAAAATGTGCACTTTTTAATAATTAACACGTGATTGTTCCTTTCTATGTAGCAAAGAAACATAGCATTTCGCTCAATCGGTCTAAGCCCGTATTTATGTTCCAGATTTTCATAAAGTGATTATATGTCAATAAAAGTAAAAAAAAAGTTGTAGGTGTGTTAGCTGTTAAAGTTGCATGGTTGCTAAATGAATATTTTGCATAGGGATAATTTGCAAACAATTCATAGAACTTGTCTAGTCAGGCATCAAATTAATTTTGCAAATTGAAGCAAAGTATACCAGGTCTAATTAATGTACCAATTTAAATTGGCATTTACCGTGGGATGCAACAATTAATTGAGTTTCTTTATAATAAAGCCACAAATTGCAACATTAAATGAAAGGATATGCTTTTATTCTTTTATTTTTTGCACACGTCAGTCTTCACATGACTGAGTACAAATGTTTGTTTTCCAATTTTGTTCAAACAGCAGCAGTGCTTTTTTTAGCCTGGTGGGACTGTTGTCGCTTGCCATAATCTGCATGATCCCTAGAAAAAGACCTCTGTTGTTTCTGAGGTTGCAGGTTCTCTCCACTTAGGGGGAACTATGCCTTCAGCAGAGTTGACAGTACAGGTTGGGGTGGGACAGGTGCTCTGTACTTCAGTCACTGTGGTGCTGCTGCTGTTAAGATGCCCCCGGAAAACAGTTATGCGTTTTTTTTGGCAAGTATCCAGCCATGGTCAGTGAATTGCTGTTTGGCCAGCTTTAACTGAAGCTGCTTAAATGTGATTCTCCTTTGCAGACACACTCATTTGTCAAAGACAAAGTAATAATGATGTGGAAAGGACTTTAATCCCTTCACAGTGGCTATAAATAGCCCCTTTTTGATAGACTTCATTTGGTTTGGTTTACAGTTAATGGAACCATCATGAACGCTGATGGTTGCTTGCCAACAGCAGATCCCTAACCAGACAACTGTCTTTCACTCCTCCTATTAATAAAAAAAAATAGATTCTTAGCAGTTCTCCTAATTACCCATTTACTCTTTGGGTTGCAAGAAATGTTCCAATACTAGGAACACTGGTAAAGACAGTCAAAGTGACAGCTTTTCAAATCTACACTGCTGCCCATAAGCATCCCTGTCTCTTCTATTGATACAACACCATCACATTCAGCAACATCTAGTTTGTCTATTGGCTTCTCGACAACGATAACTCCTAAGTTTCTATATATATTGAGAAGTAAAAGTGGTGATACAGGGAGAACTGCACTACTCCGAATTTCACTGCACACAACTAATTCTGGCACTATGAAGAAAACAAGAGTCTACAGATAAGCTTTTCTTAAAGTCTTGTCTTTGAAGTTGTGATGTGGAATACCATTTTTTACCACACGAGAGTGGCAAGCCAAAAATTAAGAAGCAGAACAAAATTATAACATTGCAACTGTTTCTTCTTTTGCTGTGTCCCTGTTAATGTAGGCCGATGTCCTTTGTTAAAATGTTGTTAGGGACTCCACTGCATTGCCGTCACTACTGTTGTCACTGAAGACCATCATGTCCACACCATTATTTTCAGCAACTGTGATACATCTAGACATTATTGGCAGGAGATATTCAACAAGGTCTGGTACACCATGTGCAATACTAACAGACTCAAATCTCTATATAACACGCATTGTAAAGGCTGAAACTTTGTGGAACCACTGTCTGGCATCAAGAAAGTGGCAGTTAATCATGATTTAACTGCTTCAGCAATGAGAAAAATCAACTTTGGCGAAGATGTGCTAAATGACCACAGTTTGTTCTCTGAGGTTGATTAATTTGCGAGGTACCTTAAGAAATGAAGGTGAGACTACCAGTTTGATTGACAGGTGGCACAAACAGAACCAAGTGAACTTTAATAAGTTTGGTCTATTCCTAAAATCATAATCTGCTGATATTCACTCCTCAATTTCCCCTATTAACCTTAGTCTATAGGAGAAATCTACATACAGAAGCTCAGATTAATCTAATGCAATACTATATTTCACTATATGGCCATGATTGTAGTCTTTTACTTGACATTTTTTGGGTGTTAGCAGAAAATAAATTCCTTCACTTTTTTTTTCAAAATGTATTTATGTTGAAGAAATTTTATTTGTACCTACCGAATTTGTTCTTTTTACTGTATTTCTTCCAGTCAAGTTTAGGGTTTTTTACTTTTCATCATGAAACCATTCATGTCCCTACTAAATACCACAGCATTGTACTTTTCAAAGATTTTTCTGACCTCATTCAATTATATCTGATTTTCAATTAAACTTACTTACAAGGTCAACATGTACATTTGATTAGTAGTAAATGTCTTTATATAATATAAACAGCAGAGAGAAGTATTCCTTGCTCTCTTTTACTACCATTATGCACTTAGTATGGAACGATCTGTCTGTACTGCACGCAAAACAAAACTTTTCACTGTATCTAAGTACATATGACAATAATAAATCAAATCAAGTTAAAAAAAAGAAGTAATTGTGCAGCTTATTAATCTCAAGCCCCTTTATCCCAATGCGCACACACATCTTTAAGATAGAGCAACAGAATCTTCTGGTTCTGGGTACATTTGCTTCACATTATGATATACATGATTCATATTTAATCAACTGTTGAAGTGAAGTGTGCAAAATAACATTTTGGAATTCTGCCAACATTGAATGAGTTTTCCTTCACCAGATTACTCCATATATCACCTTGAGGGGCACAGGAAATAAAAATAAACGGGGACTGCCTCCAGGTGGCAGATAATGGAGTAGCACTTCTCACAAGTCAACCACCAACATTCTTCTACTTGAAGGAGACCTACCAGGAACAAGAAAAGAAAAACAAAAGCCATTTCTTAGACATTAATTCTTACATGGGATGTAGGCATCACTGGCATTTGTTGCCCATCCCTTCTTGCTCCGAATGGTTTGCTGAGCCATTTCAGATGGTAGTTAAAAGTTAACCACATTGTTGTGAGCCTGAAGTCACAGTTAGGCCAGGCCAGGTAAGGATGGCAGATTTCCTTCCCTAGAGGACCTCAGTGAGTCAGATGAGAAAGCTTTATTACTGACAATAGCTTTCAGGTCCAGATTTTATTAATTGAATTTAAAGTGAAACCAGGGCATTAGCCTGAAACACTGAAGTACAACTGCAGTGACATATCCACTATGCCACTGTCTCTCTTATGTTGATGGAATGTCTAAGAAAAAAGTGATTGCAAGTAATGCTAAAGGTTAAACTAATTTGATGCTGAAATAGATAAGAATCTTACAGTTCAATCAAGGAATCCAAGTCACTGAGAACATCTCTTGGTAAGGATCTGATGCCACTGTTAGCCAAAGAACTGAAAATAAAATAACCTCATTAGTATAAATATCTTCTGAGAAATTATTTATTTTGTACTAGGCTTCTTTTTACACAAATAAGATTTTTTTTTGTAACGTTAGATTATATTAAAATAGGTGATAATAACCCTTAAACTTACAGATGGATCACATCTCTGAGCCCTCGAAAAGCATGTTTCGATATAGACTCAATTTTATTGTTTTCAATGAATCTGTAGAAGAAAAGGCAAATAGTTAGTTCAAATCGTTAATCAGTGAGATGATGAAGGAAATTGAAAAAGGAGAAAGAAAAAAAAACTCACAAATACTCTAGCCGTGGAAGCCCAGCAAAAGCATCATCTTTTATTGACGTAACTGAGTTTGAATTCAGGAGTCTGAAAAAAAAATCACCAACTCTTTTGAGAATCTTGGAACTTCCAATTCATTATAAAAAGTAACATCCAAACAACAATTATTGGCAGTAGAATTAACTGAAACTTAATATAAGCAACTGATGTTGACAAATGGATGAGTTTACTTTTAAAGTTGTACACTCCTGGGAGCAAAGCAGCTTCAAAGTTAGAGTGTGAGAGGAATGTGAGGGGATTGGTTTGGAAGACTGAGAGTGGAGGCAACTGGACAGTCTCCACCATGATGTTGGAAATATCCATGAATTCCATGTGCCTGTCGTTAGTGGTATGATGTCAAAAATGATTTCTCCAAACAAGATCTTTAAGAGTTAATTGAACATGACAAACAATTGATGGAGAGTGGGAAAATGTGTGAGAATGGGCTGTTTTGCAAGAAAATAGACTTGGCGTGGGAACAAGCTGTTTGCAGCTCTACCTCTACTTGTATTTGATCACCAAGCACAGAGGAGTGCTTGGGAAAAGTACTCAGAAGAGGCAATTCAGCACACAACATGAAAACCAGTATCCTATTAATATTGGGGACTTTTCATAGTTCATTGGACTTCATTATCAGTCCAGTGCTGTGGAAATCGTGATCGAGCTCCAAGTGGCAACAGTCAGTATGGGGTCCCCAACAAGTGAAAGGACATGACACTCACTTGTTTGAATATATCTAAACAGTTTAAGCTAATAACTTTGTTCAAATACATCTAAAGAAGTGTAAGCTAATAATTAGTTCCAATATATATTAGTAAATTAATCTAATAAATTAACATTATATCCAAACGCATGTTAGATTCTTATATTCATTTTGATCGGAACTCAAAGAATTAGTTAGGGCACTTCAGTTAATATTTCAGTAGTGTGGTGAGAGCAGGCAAGGGAGAGGTTGTTAGTAAACAAAAGTGTACCTTTAAATAGGAAAAATCATCAATCACCTATTCCTAAACCATACAGAAAATCCTCAACCTAATGGATAATTTCAGAGCTAATGTCAGCTTCCATAACTTTAGAAAGTGTTGTTAAAATGGCCTTAATTAAAATGTTCAGATTGATCACTTTTCTTAGGAATAAATGCAAACAGAAGTAAGATGGAATGGACATCAGAGAGGAAAATAATTGATGCAAAGACATGGCAATATGGTGAGACGAGTCTAATTAAAGTTCATAGCAGACGATTCATAACATTTAATGGAACTGGATGTTGGTTAGCATGGAAGAAACAAATGGAGCAATGGAGAGAGTTTCTTTTCAATGCCATTAACTTTAAGAAAACAGGGAAAAAACTGATCCAAAGAGCTCTGCCTTCATTTGCTTTCATATGGCAATTCCATCGAATCCCTACAGTGTGGAAACAGGCCATTCGGCCCAACAAGTCCACATCGACCCTCTGAACAGCATCCCACCCAGATTCATCCACTCCCTATCCCTGAAGAGTTAGCAAATATACAATAAAGATGGAAGAGAAGTGAAGATGGATATTTTCAGAAAGACAGAGACAGCTAGAGTAAGAAATGAGTGAGAGAATTGAGGAAGGCCAGAAGTTGGCATTTCCCTTCAATCCAGTTATGTATTTAGCAAAAAAGTAAGTCTAAAGGAAAAATCAGCATGTTAACTGTTTATCATTTGTGCTAGACACACAGGATTGAATCTTATATCTTTTTTGGCTAAGTGTGAGTTGTATTAATTTTATTGGAGGGTTTTTCACCTACTTATTCACTTGAGACACTGCACCAACTTTCCCCAACTTGCACCAGCACTAACAGTTATGCCAGCTTCAATTCTTCCCTTTCTCTCATTCCAGGAAAAGACAGCTCACAATGGGGCAATGGAAGAATAGTCCCAGGGTTGCTGGCACTTAGAGGGCTGTCAGAGACCAGGCATTGGCTCAGCCCCAGGCAGGGGAGAACCCTGGTGGTGTCAGCAATCAGGGACATTACCCAAATGCCCAGAAAGGAACAGGAGTGGCAGACAATACGTGGCAGGCAATGGTCCTCATTGCACAGAAGCTGCAGGAATGCAGCTATGTAATGGGGACCCAGCTGCCCCAAGGATGTGACGATCTGGCTGACCCCACAGACAGGCTGGTGGTTCAAGCATCCTGTAGGAGAAGTGCCCGTACCTGTACTCCATTTTCCCAGCCATCGGTCTTCAGGGCCACAGGCAAGGTGACAGGGGGACAGGACACACACTCCAGCTACCCCTTCCTTCCTCACAGTAAATAGGGCAGTGCCAGGGGTCACCCAGCAGAGGAAGAACAAAATGCCAGCACTCAAGATACTCGGCCTTTCCCTCTACCTCCACCCTGTCTGTCCCTCTCTGACCTTTGCAAGTTTACTCCAAGATGGGCCCAGTTGCCTCTGGCAAGTAGACCCACAGTATGTATGGGCTGTCCAGACACAAATTCCCATGGGGGTCACCCAATCAAACATCCAGATCCAACAGGCTCCCTCCACCTCAGAGGTAAACCAGGGACTACCCAGGGCATAGTGGAAGGGAGAGAAAGAAAAAACCTATGGAGGGCATTTTTGCAGCAGGGGTGACATTGCACTGTACATTAAGTATTTCGTTTGTATAAATTTGATTGCTTGTGTGCTACATCTGTTTGTTTGGCTCTCTCTCTCTGTAGAGCCCTGAATGTAACTGCCAGCGTGATACCTACTCCCTGTCCATACGGGATGTACCATAGATTGATGTTGCTGCAGCCTGTGGAACTGAGATAAAAAAGGCGTATAGAGGGCTTTGGGTCCTGCTGACACCATTGCCTGTCTTCCTAACACATCCCTCATCCTAAAACATCACTATTCTTTCCCTGGCCTCTGGGTCTAAAGTGTTCATGTGAATGAGGTGGTCACTCAGGCTGTGGTTGCAGCCGTTTTCTTTCCCATTGTGCACTGTTGATTTCCAGCACAATGGAAAGCAGCAGTGAGTGGCTTCCAGCCTCCAGCTCCACATGTTGACGAGGCCCCAGATCCCTATCCTGACTGCCCTTCCCATGACCCCCACAGGCTCTGCACCTCCCCAGGTCCTCCCCCAACCCATCTACATAAACCTGCAGCTGCCAAACTCTCCCCTGCCCTCAGGCCCTGGTATATGTGATGACCATTCCAGGTGACGTCATTCAATGCCCCCCTTCTTTGAAGCCCGGGTGATATTGAACATGAATTAACTACCTCCTCCCCCGTGCATTACCCCATTCCTATCAATGTTGTACCATATCTCCCCCAAAAAAATACAATTGCCCCTTCACAATTGTCATTGCCCCTTCCCCATCCCCAGAGAATAAGTTTCCGAGCTTCCTTGCTTCCTCCTCCTCCTCTTTGACTCCCATCTGTCCCCCTTGTCCCCCGTTCAGCTTTCCAATTAGTTTCTCTGGATGGAGCCAATGGACTGACTAAGGCCTTCAGCGAACTAACCAGACAGTCACTGCGGAGAAGTGCCCAGACTCCTGTGCTATACGTATCCACAACCGAGTTAGCCTCAGTTTCTGGGCTCACTCCTACAGAGTCACAAACTGACCGTGAGCCCTTGACCGGGTGCCTGACTGCAGCTAATCCCCCCGTCTGGTATTGCAGGCTGCCCTTGGCTCACTGTGCTGGGGCTCTCTGACTGATGGGTGCTTCCATGGACTTCAATGAGGACCATGCCCCGTAGACTTTGAGACATGGCTTCTTGCTGTGTAAACTGCTGGTGAAGATGTGAGATTGACAGAGCACGCTACCATACAGCAAGATGCCCACCCCCTTGACTGAGGACTGCAGATCAGGAGGGCAAGCTGTTTGGTTGTGAAACTGAGCAAATTAGCATAGCATTGCAAGGCAAGGATGCTATGAGTATCCAGTTAGGTGTTAAGTGAGGGAGTGCTAAGAGAACAAATGAGCATCCCTGAGATGCAGACTGGTCCAGTCCATGAGTTGGGTGCCTGTCCTTTCACTTAAAGTGTCCTTGCAGCAGCCTTTCAATGCTAATTGCTGGTGTGCTCTGCAATGTGAGTCTCAGCTTCCTAAGTGGCCTGCTAGTGGATCAGAGAATCATATAGGAGACATAATTGTAAGGTCAACCATAAATGCAGTTATGCTGGAAATTGTATCTGCTGTGGAGATTCTCAAAGTGCTGTGCAGAAGAAGTTTTTATATTTCTTTTTCTGTCTTTGTTTCTTTCCTTGGTTATGAGCATGTATAGACAGAACCAAAATGCAGCCCGGACTTCATTGAAAGTTATCATCAATTAAAATCCAAGAGCTAAGGGAAAACATAACTTTTGTGTGAGATTGCACCATGTTAACTCAGTTACCAAACAAGATAATTATTCTTCAGGGCCATGAAATAATTGTGTACATGATTAGTACATGAATTTTTAAGCTATGCATATGGAATTCTTATGCCTGCTATTTTGTTAATGTTAAACAGATTACAGCTGCCACTAAATTAACAGGACATTTTTATTAATATGGCAAATATCCACACGTTAACATTGGAAAATTCCATTTTAAAGCTCTTGTAAGTATGTAATGCAAATCTTCCACAAGAAGGAGTGTATATGTGCATTAATTGTATAAATATGGCATTATTCATTGACTGAAGATCAATAAAGATGCTCACCATGGCTCTCTACATACTCCCATTTTGTCACATTAATTTGAAGATACAGCTACAAAATAAACCTAAAAAATAATTGTCATGAATAGGAAATGTGACCAACTTTGGAATAACTTAAACATTTTTGGACAGTTGCATTGTCTTTATGGCAATTATTTTCCAATTCACAACTACTTATAAATTCAGAGATAGTAGGATAGTAGGATATTAGGACCCTTCTGAAGAAGGGTCCAGACCCGAAATGTCAGCTTTCCATCTCCTTTGATGCTGCTTGGCCTGCTGTGTTCATCCAGCTCTACACCTTGTTATCTGTACTTATAAATTCAGTTTTTTATGCAAGTTGCTCGTCTTGTTTACACTTTCATTTGAACAATTTGTATTTTATTC